CCAGAACCATACCAGGAAAAGAGGCAAAGACCACTGCAGCCGTAACATAAATAAATTAAAATGTACAGAATATAAGAAATGTATATACTTTCAAAATTTTTATCAAGGCAATTCCACAATCGTATTCCCTGAATTACAACAACGCAGCTCCTTCATACTAGTTCTAAATGGAGGTTTTACAAACATTTCCATTCCCTTAAGGTTATAATGACTCTCTTTTTTAACAAAATGTAAGTGACTATTTGGGGGTAATATTTTTATGAGCTTTATGCATGACTTGTAAAATACTACTTTCAACCAAATTGTAAAATTTTAATAATTTTAACTGATGAAACTGATGTTTGTTGGGTGACCATAGCACTTCCTACTAATAATTCTTATAGCTCTATTTTGTAAAATAAAAATAGGGTTTGTAATTGTGTTGCATGCTTTCCTGCAAACTTCAGTACAATAGATTAAATACAGAACAATCTTTACATTATACAATATATACAAAGCTTTGTCATTCAAACATTCTTTTACTTTATACAGTAATGCAATTGATTTAGCTATTTTTATTCTTAAGTAATTTACATAAGATTTCCATGTCAACTTCTCATCAATAACACCACTCAAAAAATTTATTTTATTAACTCTATGAATTTCAATACTGTCAAATTTAAATGGCACTTAAATAATTTTATTTCTATTACTTTGATTGTTTTTTTTCTTCCAAATTTAATGATAAATTATTAATTTGGAACCAAGTTTGTATTTTTACGAATTCTGCCGTATCATCTATAACATCCATCCAATATCTTCACCTGAACAAAAAAATGTGGTACCATCTGCAAATAAAACACACTTCGAAAGCCCTGACACATCAATCTGATCATTCACATACAAAATAAACAACTTTGGTCCCAACACAGGGCCTTGAGGAATTTCACATCCATTAACACAAAATTCTGATATTACATCGTTTACCTGTACAAATTATCTCCTATATAATTAAAAAAAATCTATTTAACGAGCAATTTGGGTCCAGAACTTGATCATGGTTTACCATTCGGGGACACTTTAGAAAATAAATAAATTAACATTTAGGCCCTGATTAGAAATTGTCCTGTTGTTCAGTTTTTTAAAGTTTCAGTTGAATCTAGAAGCAGATTTATACAAAAAAAAAAAAAAAAAAAAAAGTTTAGTTTTGACGTTTTCCTTTGTAAACTGGGATGTTTCATGATGTCTAACACACAGCATCATATTTAGTTCCATAATGAAACGATTACTGACGATGCAGAAACGAGGTAGAATCGATCTGTTCTATGGACTTGCTGCACAGAAGTTTCAGATTTTTATGTGAAGTTAAATCCTTACACAGTTCAATATAAACCGTTTCCTAGCTGTGTCAACTAAATCAGGCCTGCTTCTTCAGTTTGAGATGTTCTACTGTGTTTATGTGTTCATTGACAGACCGACATGAGAAGAAGAGCAACATTTTCTCGCTTCACTGCCTCCATTTGATCCCGCTTCACTCTCACAGATTGGTGGACCGAGCCACACAATAGCTGGAGGATTACGCTTCAGATTCTGATGACGTCTTTTTCAGTTTCCAGTTGGCTAAAAAAGAAAAGGAGTAATTGAGGTTGCCCTTTTTGGGGTGTTAGCCTAACTTTCCCTAAAAAACAGCAAAAAGAAAAAGGGAGGATAAATAAGAACAACAAAGAGCAGCACCGTTCACTGGACCCGTCTCCAGATTCTACAGCTGCTTCTCCATTAAAGGATTTGCTTTTTCACTTTTCCCACACAACGTCTGGAAATCTTCTCTGGTCTCGTTCTTCTTCATTTCACCTTTCTGGTCGATTTGTAAACCTGTAGCTGTTCACGTCCTCATTCATGACTGATTAATGAGGTTTTAAGTGTCTGAATTCATTTAAAAAATGGTGACGCAGAACATTTTTCAAGCAGCAGAACATTTTTGAAAAGACTCAACAGATACGATAGCCAAATTAATCAAAGAAGACGATTTGTAAATCCTTTTTGTGAACTCACTGCAGCGATCGGAAAACATAGAGTGTAAAAATGTTAATGTGTTAGTCTTCTTAAGAAAGATTAAAACAAAATAATAAATCATTCATGAATTCAGAAACCAAAACAAAACAAATGTTTTTATTTTATTTTATATTTTTGCATCAGACAGTGATTAATAATTTTTTTAGACGGCTACAAATGCCATTTTTTTTTACAGTTTTTTAAAAAGATTGAAGACATTATTGTAAAAAAATGTCTCTCCTTTCATTCATTCCTATTTTTTTTATCTGTTTTATGCATTTCCCTTAAAGGAAATGAAGGAAAGGAGGGAAAAGAGAAGAAAGAAAGGATGGTTTTCTTTCGTTCCTATTTTCATTCCTTTATTTCTATTAGATCTTTTTTCTTCTTTCTTTTACGTTTCATTTCCACCCTTTCTTTTTCTTCTTCTTTTGTTCCTTTATTCTTGCCTCCTTCGTTCCCTCCTTCGCTTTGTTTTCTCAGTTCTTCCCTTCTTTCTTATTTCCTTCCTTAAGTCCTTTCTAATTTAGTTTCCTTAATTTGTTGTCCTTCCTTTTTTCCTCTTTCATTTCTTCTTTCTCTCCTTCATCTTTTCTGCTTTCCTTTTCCCCTCTTTATTCTATTTTTTGCTGTTCATTCCTACCTGTCTTTGTTTAAACTTGTTTTCCTTCTTTCCTTCCTTCCTCGCCTGAGTCAAACTAAAGCAGGGGCGATTCTAGGATCTGACCTTTAGGGGTGCTTAGCCCCCAGTGTTGACAATGGCTCTTGGCTTGAACAACGTGGTGGCCATTGACATCAGAAGCATTCATAATGTATAATGGGGGGAATACCGTGGTGGGGGGAGTCTGGGAGTCCTCCCCCAGAAACATTTTAAGTAAAGTAGATGCCATTTCCTACATTCTGGTGTATTTTAACGGGTTGTTAAACCTCTACGTTTACCTAAATAAGTAAACACTTGATTCAATAACTGTTTTAGAGAACTCGGCACAACAAGGAGTAAGCTAGCGGCGTGCAATACAGACACGCTAGCTAAGATGCTACATATAGTGCTCTGCTTTATATTACACAACCTGATAAACACTTTGGACAAAATCAGTTAGTGTTAACTGATCATAATAAACAAAGACTAAAGTTATGCAATCAGAAGTTTTCAACATATATCTACATACAAAACACACAAAACAAAGCACAACTAGCTTCAAGCATTAACCTTTAATTTAACCATTAAACATAAAATGTAATTATGACAGCAAATGTAGGATTCACCTACAGTTTCCTTCATACAGATGAACATGTGGTACTTCCTGTTTATCACTGTTGTATTCAGCTGCTAATGAGGTCGGCCGCAGGGTTTTATCATCTTTTACATTTTTCCAGACTCAGTTTAAGTTTTGGAAATGGAATAATCTGTATTTGACCCTCTAAAGCAGAGCTATTCAAGTAAACTGCTCAGGGGGGCACAGTTACTGAAAACCAGCTGCTCAGGGGCCGAACATCCAGCAATTAAAGTCATTATAAATAAAACAAGTATTACAATGATCTGTTACCTTTTAAATGTATTTATTTTGTTGCAATGAATCATAAATGCAATAAACAAAAAAAAAACAATAAAATGAATATATATATATATATATATATTTTTTTTTTTTTTTTTACTTAATTTTTCAGGGGTTCTGAGTTCAAATTTAGGGATGTTTGAGCACCCCCAAAAAAGACTATAAAATTGCCACTGCTTTAAAGACTGGCGACAGGAAAAAAAAACTTTCTTCTCAGCAGATCTATACATTTCCACACATTTTTTTTTCAAACGCGTGCAATTATCGTTCCATTATACTTGTTTGATTGCAAACAACTTATTTAAAACATTTTAATGAGTAAATGTCAGAGAGTAATAGCACAGACAAGCTGAGAGAGGAAATGCTTTTCATTCGCCACACAATTTTACTTTGACTTTGTAATAAAGTCAGCAATCTATTATTGTGTGATTATCCTCTGAATACATATTTCGCACAACTATTAATCAGCTTGTGATCAGGAATCCACACTTTAATGTTTAACTAACCATCTTTTTTTTTAGCTGCATTTGAACAAGATTTCCATAATGAAGTCAACATTTCCTTTTTGTCTATAGTTTTTCAAAAAAAGCAGCTTTGGGAAGTTTGTGACTTAAACTCAGAAAAATAAAATAAACATAAAATAAACACCATCTGAAGCATAGTAGTTCAATGGTTATGGGCAAAGAAAACCAGACGTATAGAGTAGATGGTGTCCAGGGTGTAAACAATAAAGTTAAAGATGGTCATGAAAGTGATCAGCACCATTTTGTCCCAGGTACAGAGTTTACCACAGTTACTCGGCCTCTTGTTGTTGCGGAAACCATACAGTGGCCAAATGACCATGGCAGTCAAATACATCGCCGCCGCCAGAACATTGTAGACGATTGCGACCTTGTCAAAGGAGAACGGAAAATAGGAGGTCAGATTTCCGAGAGTGAGCAGGATGATGAGGATGGCGAAGGTGAAACACAAGGCATACACAGCGACACACCACTGCAGCTCAGGGGAGTGTGAGTACTGTCCTTTTTCCAGGGACATGAAGATGAGACAGGCAAAGAAGCTTTCCAGCATCTTCATGATGCCTGGCAACGTGGAGAGGAAACCTTGATTCTGCCCTCTGGGACGAAGGTATGTCAGGACCACCTCGCTCACATACCCTGCAACACAGAGCCAGGAAACGACAGAAGCTCCTGCCTGCCGGTGGCAGGTGCCGCAGGTGAAGAAGATGGGGTAGATGATGGAGGCTGACAGACACATCAGGCTCGCCAACATCGCAAAGGCAGCTGTGCTGTCGTTCCAGTCGAAAGGTAGCTTGGCGTTGACCGTGGAGAACTCCAAGATGAGAATGAGAAGGGAGAAGAAACAGCAGAAGCACCAGGTGAACATGCACCACGCCCAGTACGGAGAACTGTCTGGCTTCACCGACGCCACCAGGCTAAAACTCATGCAGGTGACGATGACCGTCAAGATCCGGATGATCCCCACAGGCTGCGTGATGGATTTGACATCCACAAAGACCATGATTGGATGGGATGAGTCTGCTGGACCAAGAAAAATGTTCTTTTCTTTCAGTCAGTTTGCCGTAACGTTCGGAACGATGCAACCTTGTTTCTGCCGGATCCTGTTGAGGAAATCCATGAAGACAAAAGTCCCAACAGGCGTGTACCATGAAACAGAAACACAGGTGTGGTGTGTATTCTAGTAGAGCATCGCTGGCTTATCAGTTCTCTTTATGGCTCCGTTTCAAAGCTCTGATTGGACACTGGCTGGGCATTATCAAACATACATCACAGCGTGCATGGACTCTGATCCGTGTTGCAAACCTTGCTCAGAGACAGGGCGGAGGTCAGTTTCTTGGCTCTGTTAGTTTCATGTTGTCCATCCGGTTTAAAAAATGGTCTTGGATAAACTGAAGGGAGAACACTGAAGTCATTTCAGCAAAATGATGACATCCCAGTAACTTTTATCCCAACAAACACCTGGAAAAACTGACGAGAATCCACCTTGTGATGCTGAAATGTATCATTCTGAGGCAGAACTGATGCGACCAAGTAGTGAAGTTAAATACAAGTGGACACTTTTGGATGTGCATCTAGGACTGTGGGCGTTTTTGGAAAAAGTCGAGGATTAATCCTACAACTATAGAAATGTGAAGAATTAAGAATTTGGGTGTTTCCTTAATAAAGAAAGTTTGTGATCACTCTGGTCACAGCTTGTGACCTTCAGTGATGATGCTGCAGGGTTCCTGCTGTGGTAAAAAAAAAAAAAACCTTTGGATTTTTAACACCGATGTCCACAAAAAGGTGAATGTGCTCAGTCTGTGAAAGCGGCTGTTAAACATCATGCAGGCAAATAAACACATTTCCATGGACGCCCTCATATTATCAGTAGACACAACTAGGTTAATGCTGAGCAAATGGTTTGCTTTCATTTCTACACAGTTTTTATTAACCAACAAATTCACTATTAAACAGAATTTAAACCACAAGAACAATTTGAAAACAATAAGGGCTTAAAGTTTTAACAAAAATAACATGGAGATCTGTAGCGGTGTTGAGTCCAAATGAACATCAGCCTGATTTGATCATCATTAGGTCTTTATTTCAAATGACACATCCTGCAAGGATCTGCAGAAACCGACTCTACAGCTCGTACTTGTCAGTCAGTTGGGCTCCAAATCAATAACTGTTTGATCAAAATACTAGACACATGTAAGTAGAGCAGAATTGTATTAACCAATTCTCATTTCCAAATATTTAAAACGTTTTGAGCTGACAATTCTGGCTTATTTCAATACATAAATAAAAAAATAAGTGTGTGCATATACAGTATATGATACAATATTCAGTTCCAAGGATAAATGATTTGGTCACAGCAGCAGACAAAATATAAGATTTAGATTTAAAAATGAGAATAATCATTTATTTATTAATAACTAAAGGAGTTGAAAATAATAAAAATGCCTGCAGGAACTATAGCTGTATAGATGTTGGATGATTCTTTATCTTTGCCTCCCTCTTCAGGTTTATAGTAGAATTACTTTGTGCTTTTTATGGAATGAAACAAACAAACAAACAAAAAAGGAAAATATACTGTTTATTAACATACAATTTATTTTAGCATAAATTATTGCATGACAACAAAAGACAATAATCTGAATGATTTTAATGAACATACATTTTCAATATAGGCGCAGGAAGCCAACAGTCAATATATTTATACCATGGGAACATAAAACAACAGTTTTCTACCAGTTGTACCCTTTATGAAAGAGGATGCTGTAAAAACATGGTTTATATGGTCAAATCTAAATTTACAGCTGTGTTGTATATCTATGTTTGTAAAAGAAGCCAAAGTCCAGTATAAAAAAGTGGGAGTGGTATACTAAACTCCAGCTGAACAGGTGCGTATGCACACGTTGCCACACCTTTGCAAACATGGTGTTAATGTCTTTTTACCTTCAGCACAGCGTCGATTCAAGCCACGTCATTTTGACATGATTTGAATCAGAGAAGTGGAATCAAACATGTTGATGTAGAGAAGTGTGCACATTAATGTCTCCTTTACAGCATTACATTAATATTTCAGGCGACAGCAAGGCTCTATACAAAATGAGTTTTGAACATTTGTGGCTTATGTATCAATATTTGAGATGGTCTGTTTTAGCAAAATAGTGTAAGTAAAACTAGATGAAAGCAGAGATTCACTGATTTTGGTTTTCCTTCACATTTTTCATTTTTGTGAAGCACTGACCTCCAGTTCTGGTTTGGATTGATTTCAATTTATCTCTAAAATTTAACATCAGAAGCACCTAAAGTGACTTCAAAATCTTTTTCTTTTTTTTTTTGACTGAACAGAACATTGATAATAAACTTTTACATTTAAATCTAAGATGTCACTGCATTACTGGTGTTTCTTTATTAGTATGATTTTTTTTTTTTTGGATCACTTGAAATCTAACAATAAAATTCTTCAATTTATTGAACAAAGAAGTTTGTACAAACAAAAGAAAAAAAATGAAACAAAAAAACGAAAAAATATTTAAAAATAAAATTTTTACTCTTTACATGTTTAATAAGTTATAAATTTTAGTCCACTTTAATATTACCATTATCTAAATTATTATTTACTATTGTAGCAGTTTTAGTTTGTATTTTTCTCTTGAATTATTTTGAAGATATTTTTAGTGTTGTTCTGTTGCTAGTACAAGTTGAGCACCTAGCTGTGGTGCATTCAGGGACATAAAAAATATCAGATTTTTAAAAAAAACTTTATTTGCCAATCAATCACTAGTCAAACAAAA